TTCCGAATCCTTAACCACCAATGCCACACCCTTTCGGGAGAAAACTATGCGACAATCCAATGCCTGGATCCAGAGGACAAAATGCTTTTCTGCAAAGGCCTGGAATGGAATTGTGCATAGGGAACTGCCTTGAATGAAGATACCATATTCCCCAACAATCTCATGCAGAGGCATTTAGAGGGAAATTTCTTCCCCTCTACCTCCTAAACCAGATTCTTTAGAGTACTGCTGTTTCCTGGAGGAAGGAACACATTTACTTGAACTGTATCCAAGGTTAAACCTAAATATTCTAGGCTCTGAACTGGCTCAACTTCTCCAAGTTTAGAATCCAGCCTGGATGTTCCAAGACCTGTACTACCTGAGCCACACTGTGTCTTAGAAGCTGGAATAGACTGATCCTTGAGAAGTAGATCATCCAGATGACCTAACACCAATATTCCCTAAAACCTTAACAGACCCAAAACTGGAGCCAGAACCTTTGTAAACAAATGAGGAGCTGTGGCAAGCCCGAAGGGCAGTGCCACAAACTGGAAATGACAGTCTTTCACTGCAAACAGCAGAAACCTTTGATGAGGTTGGAAAATTGGCACATGTAGGTATGCATCTCTGATATCTATGGATGCAAGAAAATCTCCTACTTGTAATGAGGCTACCACTGTACAAACTCCATCCGAAAAGACTGGATGACTAGAAAATGGTTTAGGGCCTTGAGATCTAGAATAGGTCTGACAACTCCATTTGGTTTTGGGACCGTGAATAAATTTGAGCAGAACCCTGTGAACCTCTCGCCTGATGGCACTTCCGTGATTAGGTGATCAAGGCCCCGAAATAATGAGCCTTTCTTCAGCTGATCCGAGGGAACATTTGACCTCAGAAAACGAGGCAGTGAAAATTCTAGAAATTCCAGTCTGTAATCCAGAAATAGTGTAAATTACCCACTTGTCATGGATCACTTCCTCCCATACATTTGAGAAATGCAGAAGCATTCCCCCACCCCCCCCCCCCCCGAGTGGGGGCGCCCCTTCATAAGGAAGGCTTAGAGCCTGTCTTAGCAGACTTCTGACTCCAGCTCTTTTTCTGTCCTGGCCCCTAAAGCTTTCCTCTGAACCCCGGGGGCCTGTGAACTCTGAAACTACCTGGAGGGCACAGAACTCGCAGCAGAGGGGCCTGACCGATTAAAATATGGACGCTTGCCTCTCTTTTTTACAGGAAGGAGGTTACTCCCCCCCCCCCAGATCTTCTGGGCATATTTATCCAAATCCTTGATGAACAGGCTTTCCCCATGAAAGGAAAATCCAGCCAGAAGCTTATTGCAAGGCAATTCAGCTGACCAACTTTTCAACCACAAGATTCTACACATGCACAAAGAAGAGCCAAATGCGAAACCTGCTGAATACAGTCTTTCAGAGCATCCAGTGCAAAACACAAGGCACATGGTAGATCCGCCACCTCCTCAGCAGCAATCTCTCCCTGAGCTGGCACACTTCTTACCAGCCTTTTTACATGGTCCTGCAAGGACTGGAAAATTCTAATTGCTGCCACAGCAGGCTGCATCGCAGAACCAGATAGTGAAAAGGAAGCTGTGAGTAACAACTCCAGCTTCTTATCTGCTGGATCTTTAAATACCTGGGCATTGTCTACCTGACAGGGCAAGTTCTTGTTTAAAGTGGAAACCGCAGCTTCAACAGCGGGCATACTCCATTTTTTCCTCCATAGGATATAACACAGAAAACCTCTTAGGAGGGACATAGATTCTATCTGGGTGATTCCAGTCAGCATAAATGACCTGCTCTAAGAGATGGTGTAATGGAAAGGCTTGAGCATTCTGCGGAGGTCTTAGTGAACCTAAAGAAGAATAGGAGGTTTCAGAAATATCCACTTCAGCCATCAATAAATGCATCCGACTAATAAGCCCCTTGGTTCACAAGAACCATCCTGGGACCAGTAGTATTCAAATGTAGAGCTTAACATCCGTGACCATCACTTTCAGACACTGGCGAAAAAACTGAGGTACTTCTTGTATGAGAAGGGTTTTATAGGGAAGGACTTCCTGTTTGGTTTGCCAGTATCCATTCACCTAGAGGTGAAGCATAACCCAGATAGTAATGGTTATAGCCTGCTTTTTGTCCCCTGATGTACAATAAAGAAAAATGTTATTCCTCGCCCCTACCCATATACTTTGGGCCTGATTTACTAAACCTTTGTGCATATGCTGATCATGATGTGAATACCCAAATCACACCCTCATTGAATTTATGCATAACACACACGCCACTTTGTATACACAATAAATTTAAGAAGTAGATTTTCCTATGGAGTGTACATACTTACATCCAAATGTATGCCAGTTAAATCGTGGCATGCTTGAATTAAAAATGTGACTTTCTCTAATGTTTTAAGGCCTATGTGAGCACTGTTAAGGATTGTTAATGATTTCAAGAAGAAACAAAAATGCACTACATGTGTACTTATATCACTAAAGGCAAATGTGTAAAAAAAAGTGTAAAAATAAAAAATAAATCGTGCACACTGTGCCAGGAGTATCATTGCGTGCATTTGTATTTTTACCTGTTTCTGGTGCCCCAGCAGCACATTGAACATCTTTTTGATCTGTTTCCTTAGCACATTTCATTGCTTACAGCTGTAGCTTAGTTTGCTCATATTTTGCAACATGTTGATGCAATTTTTTAATAAAAGCTTTCCTTTTTCATTGTCTATCTTATTTTAGACTCAGTGACATCATCACTGCACCTGTTTCTGTTTTCTGAAGCCAGTTAGGATGGAAAATGTGTGATGCCTGGCTGTGCAGGACAATAGGGGGACCCAAACTTCTGCAACTCCTAAGGAGGTAGTGCTACATTTGCATGTAGACCATCTTAGGTAGTGTTCACATATGATGATGAGATGGGTATTCAATTCGCATGTAGAACTATCCCTGCAGGAGCCACTTGATAATTTGGATAATCTGTTCTGCATTTCAACGCCAAGAACAACCTCACCCCCCTGACTCACCTGGTTAAATGAAAGTTACTGCAAGCACTTATAAAAACACGAGTATAGATACCTTTAACTCAACTGTGAATTAGCACCTGGAAATAGGCACAGAAAGCAGAGAGAGCGATCAAACCTGCAGCAAGTGAAACACTGAACAAGCTAGAATAATCAAACACAGCCACATTGGTTACAGTGAACCAGAATTAAATTTACTTAATCCTAGTACCTAATTATGAGGATGCTATACACCCAACAGAGGAATAATTGTATCTGGGGGCAGATTTGAGCAGTTTTTGTTCACTGTTCATGCAAGTTGCTTATAAGCTGCAAAGTTCGTATTTGGCAGCAGATAGAAATAAAAGCCTTCCATAAAATTTTAGCTTTTAATATACTTTAAAAAATCATGACAGAACTTTGGATGCTTCAACTGTTGACCTCTCTTTTTGCAAACGCTAATTGCTTGACTGTCAGGCCGACCCTTCTTATGTCAATAGTTAATGACCTGAAAGAGTTACGTAGACAAAGAATTTGACCTACTTTTCCTTGATCAATGACTAAGAAGGTAATTAAGTCAATTTATTATTCTAACAGCCAGGAAACTAGCATTTTTTGAGGAGGTCAGCAATAGCAGACTCTGTATTATGGTCATGACAGGCTTTTTATGGTCATGACTGATGATAATTTCAGCAGTGTGAGGATACCCTCAGTAGTGTGATAATGATGTCAGCAGTGTAGTGATGACCTCAGTAGTATGGTGATGACCTCAGTAGTATGGTGATGACCTCAGTAGTATGGTGATGACCTCAGTAGTATGGCGATGACCTCAGAAATATGGCAATGACCTCAGTGGTGTGCTGATGCCCTCAGCAGTGTAGTGATTACCTCAGGAGTTTGGTGATGACCTCAGTGATGTGACAATGGCCTCAGCAATGTTGTGATTATCTCAGCAGTGTGGGGATGATCTCAGTGCTGTGATAATGACCTCAGCAGTGTTGTGGTCATCACCAAACTCCTATGATGATCACAACACTGTCAAGGTAATCACAACAGTGTGGAGATCACCTTGGAAGTATAGTGAAAACCTCAGGAGTTTTTTTATGACATCAGTGTTGTAATGATGATCTCATTGGTGCGATGATGTGGTGAACTCAGTAGTGAGGTGATGGACCCAGCAGTGTGGTGATGACTTCAGAAGTTTGGTGATGAACTTAGCAGTGTGGTTATGACCTCAGTTGTGTGATGATGACCTCAGCAGAGTGGTTATGACCTCAGAAATTTGGTGTTGACCTCAGTAGTGTGATGATGACCTCAGCAGTGTTGTGATGACCTTGGTAGTTGTGTTGATGACCTCAGCAATGTGGTGATGAGTAGTGTGATGATGACCTCTCAGTAGTGTGATGATGAGCTCAGCAATGTGGCGATTACCTCAGCAGAGTGATGATGATTTCAGCAGTGTTGTGATAACCTCAGCAATGTGAGGTAGATCTCACCATTGTGCTGATGACCTCAGAAGTGTGATAATGCCCATTCACAATACAATAAATAATAAGGGTCCCTTTCTGTCAGTGTCCTCAGTGTCCAGCTCTGTAGCTAAACAGCAGGCTCCTCAGCATCCAGGGATCATTTCTGTGGAATGACTGCCGCTCTGTCTCTACTGCTCTCAGGTGCCACTGTCCGCTCACAACCTCTGCTCCTCAGCAAGAAGTCACCTCTTCACCCTCCCCAGGTGCAGTAGGCTTTTCTCAGTCTCTCTGCAGAATGCCCCTTCTTCCTCTTATTCAGCCCGGGAAAATGCTTAAAAACAATCCCCTTCCTCCACACCCAGTATAACTGGGAGTTGAAGTCCAAGAGTAAACTATAATATAGGTTAAGTCTCTTTTCTTGCACTACATTTCCCACAGTCCTTTACACTTTTCCCCAGAGCATCCAGCAGTCCATGTCCTCAGCTCGCCCCCAGTGGATGGAGGGTAGCTTAACACTAGTTACTTTGTGTTCTGTGAATGCAGCTTCACCTCCAGCCAGAGGCGGACTGACCATTTGGAAACTCGGGCACTGCCTGAGGGCCCGGGGTCAGTAGGGGGCCCCATGAGATGCCCCTGGTACCTTTTTCATAGGCTTTTTTGAGCTTGGGCAAGGACACAGGGGCCCGATGATCCCCTATTGCCCGGGGGCCCCATGAGTTGTCAGTCCGTGCCTCCAGCTGTATCTGTAAATGGCCCTATCAATGATGCAGTGTGGGCTACACATACTGTATGTAACACCCTTCTAGATAGGCTGCTAATTAAGTTAGGCAAATTTAGTTCTTTTGGTTCCCCTGTAAGCAGTGGAGCAGCTTGTGATTACTTTGGGTTTACTGGTTGCAGGTTTGACTGCTTCCCCTTGCCTTCAGGAGGATTCTGGAATGCAGTGGGCTGGGAGAGTCAAATATGCAGCCTGAATACTTATGTGGTCCCAGCCAATCCCACCGGAAGAGTTTCCCAGAAGATGGCTGGGTAGTGCATAAATAGTCTGAGGCCAGGAGCAGCAGGGTTCTTGTCCAGAAGGAGAATTTCCCAGACAGAAGTGCTACTGCCCTTCTGAGCTGTCCAGCTGTGCTTCTACACTTGTTCGTCGAGATCCCAGCAATGCTTAAAGCGGAGTTCCAGTCACACTGTAAAAAAAACAAAAATCAGCAGCTACAAAAACTGTAGCTGCTGAGTTTTTAAAAACAGCCACTCACCTGTCCCTTCGATCCCGCGGTGTTCTCCCCACAGCCCATTTCACTGGCCATCCAGTGTTCCCGGCACCAGCATCTTCCGTGTGTGCACCTGGCTATGACAGCTTGCAGGTTCACAGCCGAGTGCCCACAGTGCGTGCATGAGCAGCACTGCACTTTCTGAATGGTCCTGTAGTCTTCTGGGACCTGTCACATATCCCAGAGGACTACAGGGAGGAAGGGGGGAAGAACATCTTTACGCAGCAGAAGTGGGAGCGGGTACCTGTCCATTTTGGGTACCTGCACCCCCCCACTCCCCAAAGGTGCCAATCCTTAATGGGGAACAGGGGACCAGTCTTTAAAGCAGAACATCCTCTTTTGTGTGGAGCTCAGCTTTAAGTTTGGGCACCTGTTCTAGTGCTCATTGAGGTCCCAGCTGTGTTAGAGCTGGAGGGCCTATTCTACTGGACCTTGCTGGAACTGAGGGATTTCACAGAGGATCTGGTCTGGAGAGACCATTGGAGAAATGGCTGACTGATATTGGAAGGAGGCATCCAAGTATCCAGGAAGATTTCTGAGTACAGACCTGTGTGTTTGATTCTAGTGACTGTGTGCTCCTACTATCCCTTGTGCATCGGTGCCAGTTTTTTTTCCTCAAATTTGGACATTTTCTATGGTTTCCCAGTGTGGATCAGTCCCTTTGTTACTGCTGCACTAAGACATTTAAGCAGTTGAGAAGTATCCTCATGTTACTCTTGTGTGCTACAGGAATTTTCCACAGCTTCCCTATACCCTGTCCAAGTTCAACTCAAAGCATCAAAATGAATCTCCTAGACTGCTCATTGAGCCAGCAAAGTGGCTGAAACTGTGGCCTCTTTCGGGGGTGAGCGATACACGTATATTTTACTTGACACATGCCAAGGCGAGGAAGCAAGCTGATGTAAGTGACATGGACCTCCAGTGCTTGTAGCTCTTAGATATCCACGAGCTTCTATTAAATGCTATACTCCTGTCAGGTAATAATCTATGTTTTTATAGCTTGCCAGAGTTATCTGTCAGTCTGATTAGAAAGAACAATAAAATGCTTCATAAATCACCTTATGATGGAGACAAGATATTTAAAATCCTGTGTCCTTATGTTTTACTCCCACTGTAAAAAAGAAAAAAAAAAGGCTCCGACCACATTCAGAAATGTAGGCTGAATGAAAGAGTGCAAGTTGTGCAAGTTGCATCTCATCTCACCTAATGCTGTAGAGACCCCAATTTAGGTGTTATTTTTGGGTTTACTGTATGGGGTAATGTATTTAAAGACAATATTCAGTTTAGGAGATTATTTGTTATTTTAAATGTTTTTATTTATATTGTTCTCCTCATTTTCTAATGCTCTCCAGCAAAAGTGACAGTGGCAGAGGCTGAGGATGCAAGAGAAGCCTAAGCATGTTTACAAATATATATATATATTTTTTTAAGTTTTAAGCCATGTGAATAAAAGGTGAAAATTGTAATTGAATCTGCCATGTTAGAGTGTTACTAAACCCTGGACCCTGCATTCATTATATCTGATCTCCCACAGTACACAGAACACGGAACTGCAATTATTTTAGTAAATATAAACTGCTAAATACATTTTCTCATCAGCAGTTAGAGCAATCTTGTGACTTCTATCAGTGTCCAGCAGAGCACTGGTTAAAGCGTGTAGGAAGAGTTTTAATTTTGCTCTAGGAGGATGCAGAACCCCTGACCTCTGTCTGGATAGTGATGATTGGCCAAGTGCTGATCACATGCACTGTCTCAAGAAGAAAAAAAAACTCTCTAGCAATACACACCTAACTGAGCATGTGCAGTGTCGCCAATGATATGTCTTATCAGGAGATAAGAGGGGGGACACTGGAAGAAGAGGAGGATCAGAGAAGTCAGGATCAAACAGTGTTTTTACAAAATGCAGAGGATTAACCCCTTAGGTTCCACAGTGAGTATAATAAGCATGCTGCATATACAGACTGATTTTACTGTTGTGCGTTTAGTAACACCTTATTGCTATTGTTTAAGTTAGCATTTTCTTTTACATATAGGAACTAGGGATAAGTGAATCAGCCTTGGTTAAGGTTGGTCAACAGTCTTAAAATCTTGCTCGAAGCCGACAAACTTTGCAGTGAACCCCACTGAATTTTGGAGGGGAGAAAATGTTGTTATTCAATTGTGGCCTCTCAACAGGGCTAATAAGGAAGCTAAGGTCAAACAAAAGACATGGGAATCCAGAAAAGCCAAGTGGGACATGTACTAATGACAAAATTAGAGACGTAAATTATAAAAAGAGTACATAGCATTGTCAGCTTTCCCTAACTTGCTCAACACACAATGACAATATGGCTGCTTTGACCTATCCTTTTATAATGTGGAGGCTGGGTTATCCATTTCTTCAAAATATTGGCTCTTGTTACTCTGACCAGGGACCAAAACTCTACTGACCAGGGCAAAAGCTATGCACTGCATTATAGGTAGTCCCTTATTTCTGTCAGTCAGTCTGCAAACTTTTTGGGCAAAAGTTCATGAGTTGCAAACTTTGTGAACCCATGGTGGTGGCAAACTCATCACTAATTCTAAATTGGATATAAATATAAAAGAGGATAAAATGGAAAGGGAGGTCACAGGCTTTCCAACACTCTATTTTGTCCAGTTTGAGACAAGTGGGTTCATTTAATAGCAAATGCAGTAACCCATAAGAATAATCATTTAGAATTCCTTACTAGGGTAAGCCTGCTACTGATACGTAGTATTAGCCTATCAATGCGATGGGTGTTTTTAATAAAACTGGACCAAAAAAGTCCTGGTCCTTTCTGAATGCTGGCTCTGGTCCTCTCCTTGAAAAGAATAGTAATCTGGAATGATATTATTACAACAGACAGATGGAAGGAAGAGGGAAATGGAAAGATAGATAGATAGATAGATAGATAGATAGATAGATAGATAGATAGATAGATAGATAGATAGATAGATAGATAGATAGATAGATAAAACCTTAGATTGCAAGCTCCTTTGGAGCAGGGACTGATGTGTAAGTACAATATATATGTAAAGTGCAGCGTAATTTGTCGGCGCTATATACTGTAAGTACCTGTAATAAAAAAATAAATACTGTAGGTACAGTAGATAGATAGTAAAGATGGGCTAGGTGATTTAGTCAGAATTGATTGGCGTGCTTGACAATAAACCAAACTTACCGAGGAAGTCCTACCCATTGGATGTAATGGGTATAGGGGGCAAAATCACAGGCCAATGGGGCGGACTAACCATTTGGAAACCCGGCACTGCCCGAGGACCCGGGGTCAGTATGGGGCCCCATGAGATGCCCCTAGTACCTTTTTTCTAGGCTTTTTTTGAGTGTGGGCAAGGACACAGGGGCCCCATGATCCCCTATTGCCCGGGGGCCCCATGAGTTGTCAGTCCGCCCCTGCATGCCAATGACATCATCACGCTGTACTTTCAGGATTGCTGAGCAGTAAGATACCGGTATATGTACACTGACTGCACACACTAAAGAGATTGTATTAGGAGCAATTTACAATATATTCATTGTGATGTTTTCAGACTCTTTATCTTTCTTTTAATAAGCACAATGAGCACTATCAGTCCCCTTTCTTTTTTTTATGTAACACCTATATATGAGTTGCATATGGTATGAATTGAGGATTATTGAAGAAATTGGCTTCTTGTATCTGCAGCAGCCCTGCTGGGGGCAGAAAGTGCTGTTTGACCTCAACTGACCAGTAGATGTCTTCTTTGGAGGTGAACAGTTCTCTCCTGGTGGAGTGCACATTTTTACTTTGGTGGTTTTATGTAAGAAGACATTTTTTAAGTGATCACCAGATTTTTTTCATCGGTGGTTGGACATCTTGATTCAGCTTTTGGACTTTATACTTCTTTGGACATTTATTTTATGCATATTTATGAAATTATGTTATGTGTACATTTTATTATACACAATTGACATCTAGGGCAGCGTGTTACACTATATTTGTTTTTGATGTGCTTGACAGGCTCATCTTAGCATGTTTCCCTATGAGATTGTGTAGAGGGCGTGTGTTCATTCCCTACACCCAGATCTCAGATTACACTCAGCTCTCCTTTCCAAGCTGTACAGTGTGTGATGCCAGATCTCTGCCCCATGCCCCCTGCCTCTGGAAGCTCAGAAAAGTTATGTAAGCTACACATTTTGAATGAATGTAGAGGAGAGAGGGATGCAGATAAACAGGTAAAACATATGTAGGTGGATTTCTTTCTTCTCTGCATATCACATGAGGCCAATCACCTCACTGGTTATATATAAGAGTTTATAACCACTTTAAGTGAATAGCCACAAGATTTGTTGTGTGAAGGTTCTGAAATCTTTAGTAAATCAGCCATACTATGTCTCTTCTGCAGTAAAAAAAAAAACTTTCTTGATTTTAAACTTTTTATTTTTTCAGGTAAAGATACTATTTT